TAGCAATAACAAATTTACATGGAAAACCAAAATAACTTGACAAAAAGAAAAATTATGTGGCTGGATTGTATAAATTGTAATCGTCTCACCACACTGTTAGATATTGCTATTATTTTTTTCGACAATGGTTAGTGAAAGAGTAAAATGCAATATTTTTAAATAGATGGTAATACACGTGGAGTGGAAAGTTACAAGTTTAATGGTCGCGTATTCATTACGGGCTGAACCCAAGAGTTTTTAGAATATGAAAACCCAGAATAAAAAAAATAACAATAAAATATTAAAAGATAAATTTTAAAAAATAAAATTTAAAAATCATAAAAACAAACACAAATAACAATCAAAATCAAAATTAAACTAAATACAAACTAAAAAAACAATTGAAATCTTAAAGGTATGGTGTGAGCCCCGAAGGTGACGGAAAAAAGGAGACGGAAAAAATGGCTTATCGTGGCCAAACAACTCCGAACTAAACTCCATGCTACACCTCATTGACTGCTATAGCTGCAGTTGATTTTTTTTTTTTTTTTTAAAAATTTTTTTTATATTATTTTATTAAAATGATGTAAAAATATTTTAAAAAATTAATGTAAAACAAAAAAAATTCTAATTCTTTTAAAAATATTTTTACAATAAAAAACAAACATGACGTGAAAAATACAACAATTAATCTTTTCTAGACATTAAACATCGCACTATAGGCAACCCATAGAGGTTGGATGACGTTCACTCGGTGACGCTATTAGCTTTTTCTTTCTGGTGATATCTCTTATTTGTTGAAAGACTTATTCACCCCTTGTGCAAACCAAGAACAATGAAAAAATCGCGAGAAAAAGATGAAAAAGCCCCTGATAGCATGCTCTGTGATTTTTTTCTTGAAATGGTATTTTAGTTTTTTATTTGTTTTTCTTTTATTGCAAGGGTAAATTAATAATTACATGGTGGAATAAAAATATTAAAAAACTGATTTACCTTTTTTATATTGAAAATATCAATTGAATTTTATGAAAAAACCTATTTTGTCCCTAAATTTGTTCTTCCTTGGTTATAACTATAAATGACAAAAATATAATTATGTTGCAGTAATTCACAGTACAGTATATTTATTTCTACAGTGAACCATCAAGCACCCTTAGTTTTTTTTTTTGATAATTTTCATATCAGTATTTAAGAAATTATTTATTTTTAATGTATAAAATGTACATGGACCATATATCTTTAAAATCATTTAGACAAAAAATACTTAAACCTGATAAGCAGCAAAAAGTTTTATAAAATTATCATGTAAATAGATAATAACTTTTTAAAATTATTTAGAAAAAGATATTTAAACCTAATTATACAAGGAACGAGGGATATTTAAAAATAATATAAATTATATTTTAGGACTTTACATAATAAATTAAGTTTATAAATTGAGATAATTTTTTGATATGATATCAAAATCTCAATAATCAAACAGTTATAAGTTCACATGTTACGAGTTCGTATCTTACTATTTTTATTTATTTGATAAAAACAATAATCAAACAGTTATAAGTTCACATCTTATTATCTTTATTTATTTGATAAAAAATAAATATAATATAATATGAGTTGTGCAAGTTTTAAATTTAAAAAGTTTTTATTTAAAAAAATATATTAAAAAATAATATAAATTATATTTTAAAATTTTATCTAATAATTTAAATTTTTAAAATGAAATGATTTCCAATATCCGGTTATTCATGACAACGCCTTTCCTTTCTGCATTATACTCAAGAGTAGAATTTTTGGAGATGTTGTTATCAACACGTTTGCTGCTTCTTCTTCTTCTTTTTTTTTTTTCTGGTATCATTTTAATTATATATGAAATCTCTGCATGGTATATGGATTAGAAGCCCCTTTTCAAAACTCTATTGTATAGAAAACCGAGAAAAGAAGACAAAAATAGAATGTTAATATATATTCATAAATTACAATTTAAATAGCACTTATAAATTTATAAGACGAAATAAAGAAATCAATATCAACTACAAACCAATCAAACTTATAGGCTGCATAATCTAATAAACAAAAAATATAATATTAAATATTTTAAAATTTATAAAACCATTAAAAAAGTATGGTAGTGGTTGTTTTTCTTTTTAAAATATATTAAAATAATATTTTTTATTTTTCAAAAATTATTTTTGATGTTAACACATTAAAATGATTTAAAATAATAATAATAAAATAATTTTAAAAATTAATATTTTAAAAAATATTTTAGAAATACAAAGTCAAACATACAGTGTATGTGTATGATATCAAGAGATGTTTTCTTACCTTAGGGCCGAAGCCAACTTCGTACAACAACAATCTTCTTACTTTCGAGACGGTACACCAATCTTTTTAACTTTCGAGACTGTAAACAATCTTTTATTATAAGATTAAGATACACGTTAAAGGATGTTTAAGAGTTTATAGTAGTTTTTTAAAATATTTTTTATTTTAAAATATATTAAAAAATATTATAGAAAAATTAAAAAATAATAATCAATACCAACCTAATATTAAAAATTAAAATTATATAAAAAACAAAAAAAAACTTTTAAATTAGATAAACTTACAAATTTTATGGACATATACATAAGATTAAGATAAAATCAAAACAATTAATTAAAAAAACTCAACTCACATTAATTTTTAAAATCAATGATTCTTTTCATAAACTAGAAGCTGGTCAACTTTTTACATTTATATATATATATATATATATATGAGATACGAAATCAAGAGATGTTTTCTTCCCTTGGGGCCAAAGCCAACTTCATATAACAACAATCCTTTTACTTTTGAAACAGTACACCAATCTTTTTTACTTTTGACACAGTAAACAATCTTTTCTTACAAGATTAAAAATCTGTCGGGAATTGTGATATAAATTATTTTAAAAAAAATTTAAATTTTTTATTTAAAATGATCTTTTATATATTTTTAGATAATTTAAATATGTTGATATTAAAAAAAAATTTAAATAAAATAAAATTTATTTTAATGTATTTCTAAATCAAAAATATTTTAAATCGTTATCATTATCACAATTTCAAATATAATCTAAAATAATATTAATGTGATGTTTAAGAGGTTAATAATTATTTTTTTATAAAAATATATGTAAAAATATTTTAAAATAATATATTTTTTATTTTATAAAAAATATTTTTAATATTGATATATTAAAATAATTTATTTTAAAAAAATCAAAATAAGGTGAAACTTTTGATTGCCAAACACCACCATAATATAAAACCAACACAAAGGGGAACATACTCGGAAAGACAACAATTAAATTGAACTGAAAAGAAAGAAGAAGAGATTTAAGTGGTCTGATCACTGATCCTGGAATTCTTTCAAAATCATTAAGAAAAACTTACAGGACTTTGTTGCTTCTTCCATACACACTCCCTCGTCAAGTACTGCTAAAACTTACGAGACTGTTCTTTTCTAGGTTAAAATACTCGTGTAAAGCAGCTGAACTCACGTCCAGACAGCTGATCACTCTCTTACATCCTTGGAGCCGAAGGTAGATAGAGAGACGAGCACATAATTCCATGAAAAATCATATTAATTAAATGCTGCATCCATCAAATTAAGAGCACAGCCCAGAATAAGCTGGTAATAAAATATGTGCTGGAAAAAAGGATATTGTCTTCACAGCTTCATCCCCGTGGTGTATTCCTTTATTGGATCATATACTATTTAATATTTTTTATTATTTTAAAGTGTTAATATAAAAATAATTTTTAAAT